ACATAATTTCTCATTCAATATTTAGTGGTTTTGAACAAATAAATATACTACATTAATCTACTCAAGAAGAAAAACACGTTTAAATTTAATTCAACTAATTTTGAGGTGTAAGTCCCACTTCTATTTAAACTCAAATTTGTTCAAAAATAACTTCTTTATAACCATTTTTCCAACATAATCTTGGATAGTTGAATTTGTCCTATATTCAAGATGTGTTTAGTAGATTTATTTATTTTTTAGTCGAATTTATGTTTGCCAACTTATCAAGTTCATTTATTTATCGACTTCTTATTGGTTCTCACTTTGTACCTAAAATTTCCTTAGGTCCAAGTTTTTTTGGGCCCCAAATGTATGTATTTAGCTGGTTCAGCTTCCCACATCAAAACTCACACGAGGTCATCGACTCATAGGCTAGTTCATAGCCAAATAAGTAATGAAGAAATGCGAGTAGTTGAATTTGCCTTAAATTAAACTAATGAGCATCGGTTGTTTGTGCTCAACATCTATGGAGCGATCCTTTTCACGTGGATGCCACTGTCCATTTGGTCTCTAATGTTTCTTTGGTTTCGGAGGTAAGACCCTCTCGCCCTAGGAATGATCTTCTTATGCTGTGAAGGTTTTTGATGGGACATTTCTAGAACGCAACAAATGGCAACACGTGTCATCTCTGTTATGGTCCTGACACGTGTCATCCCACCAAGGGAATAATTCCCCAGGGCCCGAGGGACTCCGAGGCGGCATGGATAGCATATATCCCTCGGCTCAAATTGATGATATCGGTCCCGACGTGTATCTACTGAAATATGGACTTTTCCACTCCTACGAGGACTGGTGATTAATAGATGACTAACATAGGTCAGGTTAAGCTAGGCTAGCCATCATAACAGTGTTCTACTCAATGGTGTCAGAAGGTACAAGAATGCAGAAGATTCAACCAAGGAGGAATGGGCACGTGGCATGCGGTGTCAGATCGAGGACAAAATGACTAGAATGCCCCTGCTGACACAAGACTTGAGCAAATAGACATTTAATGTATCATCTTCCTGATAAGACAACATTTAAGGCATGGAGATTGAGAAGTGAAAGACATTAAATGCGCCCATGCCTGGGCATTTAATACTCCCTCGCCGAGGGAAGGGCATTGAATATTCGGCAGACCGAGGGGAAAACATCAATTGCTCGGCGTCCCGAGTAGTTAAGGCTGAATGCATTCTCCACTAAAGGAAAAGGGGCACACTGCTCCATCTCTAATAATTGTCTACTAGCTATATTATCAGCAATGATGAACTTTTGAAGATATAAATAGTCCTCAAAAACATATTGCAAAGATCCGCAAGAACTTCTGAAAAGAACCATAGTGCTTTCTTTTTCCCCTCTCTCAAAAAACTGACTTGATCGTCAGAAGGGATACGCCGAAAAGCACTCCGGCACCCTTCTAACTAATTTTTCTGTGTTACAGGATCCCCCCACAGTCTTCCAGTACCGGTCAGGCAATCCAACAAATAATTCATCACTAGTCTTTAGGGCCCATTTGTCCCTCTTAACCTACTTCTTGTTGCTAAAACCCAATTTTCGGATGGGTTGAAACTCTACCAGAGGCGATTAGAGATTCTGAATGCAAACCTTCCGTTCCGCCGAAATTACTGTCTTGTCGAACCACAGTTCATCGTGGGAGAGACTTGTTTCTACTTCTACTGTTGTGCGAAAATTAATGCGCACAATTCCTTTTCCTCAAAGTCTGGGAGGGCCTCTTTTGGTGTTGTGGTGTGTAAGGAGGAAGGTGTTCTGATCTTCAGTGCTGCTAAATCGTTTCCTGCTGTTACTCCCTGTCCTCTGACGCAGAAGCAATGAGTCAAGCCTGCCTATTAGCTGATGCTTTATTGCTTTCTAATACCACAATTATGAATGACTGTCTAAGTATTATCAAGTTAAATTCCATGGAAGACGTACCCCGTGGAAAATTTGCGTTATTGCGGACGATATTAGATATTATGCTAAGTTACATAGCTGCGCTTTTTACACAAGCCTAGGTTCTATAGGACTAGTCATTGAGTGGCAGTCTCTAAACTAACCAATTCCCTTCTGCTTGATTAGTTAGGCTTCCACACTCCCAGCGACAAATTGTAATTAAAATTTTCCAACTTAATACAATGTTTAATGTCTTGTTTACGATCAAACAAAATTAGACTAATGAGGAAGGAAAACTAATGATTAAGAATTTACGGAGGTGTCATGCGTATCTTTTCATTATCTACGCTGCTTTCTCAGTTGATGATCACGTGAAGCTAAGAGATCATCAACGTTGGGATTGGTATTCGGATTAATCTTCTTTTTGCAGGCAAGGTGTTGAATCCTTGAATCGAAACAGTGACAACTGAGAAGCACATTGACATTTCACAAAGGTAAATTTGCTTTGTGGTATTTGAATTGAACGGGGGATTGAGATCAAAGAGTTCATTCTTTAACCTCAGCCACGGATATTGCTTTCTTGTTTGTTTATTTATTTGAAATTTTACTATTAGAGTTCTTCATGTTGCTAGTGTTTTAGGTTTGGGGATTGGTACTCTTGTTTGGGATGTGGCTTGATTTCACAGTATCACAGGTATAGGGGACAAACCACTTCATACCACTAGGATGAACCCACAAATCACCGCTTATTGCAGGGATGAATCCAACGGTGGCTTTACATTTAAAACTACAATTCTAGGCCTCCATTTCGTTTTTAATTTTCAATGATCAGCAACCTTGGTTTTGAAAAAAAGAACTGTTAGATTTTTTGAAAAATATATTTCCTTCAGATTAATAAGAGAACAGAGGTAAATAACATGTCATACTTGAATGTTTTCGTCTTCTATTAATGTTCTCATAAACAATTTTAGAGGTTCTATTCCCATCTCTTGCAGTAGTTAGTAAAGCTTGGCTTGATTAGTTGGAAGAGTGAGTTGTAAAAATGATCTTCAGGGACAGCTATGGGTTTGGTCAAAGCTTATTAATACGTGGTTATTTCAGCATTTTGTGAAAGACTAATAGAAACATACATCATATATCAATACTAGCTGTCTGTTCCTCTTATGATGTTGTACTAGGTTGTATAATATTCTGCCAGTCCTGATGCTGACTGAATGACCATTTTCTGAAGGTTGTGAAGTATCTTTCTACATCAAAGCATGTTGCATGCATAGCTTGAAATATCTTGTCACCAATATAATACGTTTTCGACTTCCATCTTGTTCATGTAACTGGAAATGATAGTCTGACACGTTTCATTTTTGATCAATCTACATTTGACATGTATTGAAGCTGAAGTCTCTCTAAAGGCCCACAATTACCAAGGACCACTCGTACCATGTCACCGATATCACTCTCTTACTAATCTTTTCACAACATGTATAAATTTTATTCTTGTAAGGGTTAAAGTTGGGATTGGAAGCTTTTGATTTGTGACTGATGATGGGGGAAAAAGAGAGGTGGGTTGGTTTGGGAGAAAATTTTATTCAGGCACCAATTATATAAACAAATTTTGAATGCTATACCTGAAATAAGAAATCAATTTCATTTTGTTTGGATGTAGAGTCTATTGATGGTTGGTATATTACGCCACGACCAACTGATTGCTCAATTATTTTCAACAGGGATTATACCAATCGTGTGGGCTGATCAGCAAGAAGGAAAAAAAAATCCCAAACTATCAAGAATTCTATGAAGAAATAGATTTGGAAGGTAATCTTCAGATTTTTATTTGTAATAATGGGATTACATGTACTACTGCTCTCTACTTTGTTTTGTAGATTATATATAAAAAACTTTGCTGTGATTGTGAGATTGTTATGATTGGCACGTCTGCAGGGGATAATGGAAGAAAATGCAGCCCCAAATTGACGCAAACTTACCAACAAAATATGTCGAAAATAGGTGGTCCATCCTGGAGTGAGCTTGGGGCCATGTTATTGGTATTATGCCAGTGATCAATGAGCCAGAAGATGCTTGAAGGTAACCTTAGCTGGCTCTCTTGATTGAAACAGAGAAGAGTTGGCCACAGTAGCACAGGCAATATCCTAAAAATGACACAGTATTGCCCACAAACTCTCGAGGGAAAACTACTGTTGATATCATATTTAAATCATTTTAATATGGTTTCTCACCAAATTTTTGCTCGAATGTATCTTTTAGCTGGCTCACTTGATTGAAACAGAGAGGAATTGGCCAAATTAGCAGAGGCAAGATCACAAAGTCCAGCCTTCTACCTCTAGAGAAACAGAGGGAAGGAAGGGAGAGAGGGGGGTGGGGGGTGGGAGAGAGAGAATGAAAACAACTTGTAAAGCAAGACAAGACTGGCTGAAAAATTGAATTCACTTAAACAATAATGTTACCTGACTTAGGGACTTTATTTATATCCCCAAAAAAACTTGGGATCAAATCTATTGTGATACATATTGACACGGTATTTCATTTATTGCTGGGGCCTATATTAGTCCAACAATCACAATCAATTAGATCTTCATATTAAATCCCTAAATTAAACCCAATGATAATATGGTTATTGTTGTGCTGATCCACTAATCAGAGGTCCAATTGATAGTGCCATGCTGTTCACCCCTGATTGGTTGGGGACAAGTTAAAGAGGATAACATGGCTACTATAGTAGGATGCCATATGGGTGTTGTAGGTTGAAAGGCTGCCTTTAGAAGAACAGGGAAGATAGAAGGAAGGGGGGGGGGGGGGGGGTGTTGTTTGGGGCCCGGTTATCTATGCCCAATGACAAAATATCCTACCAGACAAAAAAACTGGTCGTTTACAAATCTCCTCTAATCCCCTCTCCACCAATTATAATCTATCCCTCACGTGGGACTCTTGGACCCACCAGCCATATAATTTTATTCTTTGCAATTCCCTATGTCTTGATCAATCATTATACTGTTTATCTATACATACATACCTGAGCTCCTTGGGTGCAAGTATTATCAAGTTAGTACTAATCTCATTTGAGATATTAGAGTGTCATGGGGGACTCCTCTGCATCATACATACACATGGTAGTATTTTTCTCTTGTTGTTAAGGTTTGAATGGAAATTCATGTTTCCTTTGAGATTTTGTTTTAGGTTTGATTTTTTTTTTTTGACATATTTAGGTGCAGCACCTGATAGAGAAGTGCTTGATCTTCCGCATGACGAAAGAAGAGTGCATGGAAGCCCTTTCTAAGCATGCAAGCATCACACCAGTTATCACTTCTACTGGTATTACTTCCCCCTCTCTCTCTCTCTCTCTTCTCCATACTAGCAGCTACAGCTATCATTTGCCCTGTACGCATGCATGCACTCACGTACATCAAATTCATGAGCAGTACCCTGTAACCTGCCTAACTAGATTGAGTTGCTATTCATATGGGAAACTTGTGTAAAGGGTCAAATTGTACAGAAAACTGACCTTGTATCTTCCTTTTATTTTTGAACTCAAATAAATGTAATCATTTTATAAAAAAATAGTACCCAATGCATAAGACTCTAACCCGTAAATCTTCGTTTCTATAGGCTGTAGAGTGAAAACTGGCCTTGCAAGCTACATCTTCTAATTTTAAACTTCATCCGGATTCGCATAGGCACAAGTAATCATTCATGTTTTTGTTTTATTAACCGGATTTTTGCCAACAAACCAGTGTTTTGAGTCTCTTGGAAAGAGCAACTGGATGGTATTCGACATAAAGCACCCATGATGATTTGGTGGGGGAGAGTGGATCTCTGAGTTCGTATGTCAAAAGAGTTGGCAACCCTTAGGTGCGGGGTCTTTTCTCGCATGGAAAGGTTTGTCGCCAACATCAACTGCCAAATGATTTTTCTTAGATCTCCAAATCGAAGTAAGGGATTGTAAATATTTTGCGACAACCCTTGAAAAGCATAAAGTCATTCGACCTTCAGCAAGCTAATACATATTCATTCGTAGCAATAATCTTTTTAGGATGATTACAATTATTTTAGTTTTGGAATCCGAAAGAGATTGTGATAGTCAGTCTTCCTCTATTCGGAAAGAGTGATTCTCAGACTCCAACCCACAATGATCACTTGAGAATATTGAATACTTGTCATTGTTCATTTTCAAACATCACACCAACTACCTCCATGTGCAAGAATTAGATATAAACATGGCTATGTCCTTTGGCACTTTTCTTTACATAAACAGAAATAATACTATTATCATAAATGGGTTCTGATGAATTCTCATGCAGTGTGGAAGGAGTTAGAGAAGGAGAACAAGGAATTCTTTGAGGCGTATTCTCAATCTCAGGGCAAAGAAGATCGAATGTCTGAGGCCGAGACGAACGAGATGATTCAGAAGATGATCTCTGATCATGAGCAATCAAAAGATCCCATAGAGTAACACATGAACCAATTTGAAAACGATCTTTCCTTTGCGTTGTGGTTGGCATGGAGCTGGTTTACAACTTAGTGTCCTACACATCCAGCCAAACTCATAGACACTATAGTATAGTACTATGTGGTCCAGATGAATCTACGGATGGAGAATACTCTATGTTCCCATCTATGGTATATACATTTCATGCATTCATCAATTAAAGCATGCCAAATCAGCGCTAGTGTAGATTTCCTTGTACATTATTCACAAATGAGCAGAGCCCAAATCATCCTTAGGATAGGGGGGTTGGTTAATTGGGTGAATTGTGGAGGATGGTTCTTGCCGTGGAGGGGATAAGGATCCTTTCCAGTGCTAAATGTCCTTAATTCCATAAAATTCCCTAAGTTATAGATTATGCTTCGTGTATCGTTTGGGGCCCACTTAAATACAAGTGTCTCATTCGGATGCATAAAAATGTGGATATTTCATGATCGAAATTGTGTAATTTAGGTAGCTCTTTAATAGGGGTGTAACTTGGGCGGGTTGAACAGTCGACCCTAGCCTAACTCTAAGTATATAATCTTCAACTCTAATTCTAATTCTATCTCGGGTAGAGAAACTCAACTCGAGCACTACCCAAGTTTAATTCAGGCGGGCTCGGGTTGAATTCGGGTTAATGATTTTGAATTGATTTCGAATTACTTTATGGACTGATTTCGGGTTACTTCAATCAAGTTTTTAACATAATAATTATAATATTAAGAACTCAGTATTTGAGATAATATAACCACAACCATATAAAACATAAATAAACACAACTAGAATTCTTGCACAAACATAGAGTTCATTGCTCAAACATAGAGTTCACTGCTTAAATAAAATCTTTGTACAACAAGAATCCTTGAGAGAGACTGAGAGTGAGTGAGGGTCTGAGGGAGGCGCACACTTAAGTTGAAATTAACCATAGGATAAAATTGTATTTATATAATATTAATTCGTGTTGAACCTGATGGCTTAACCCTAGGCCCGTCAAAATTGAATTTGGGTTGAGGTTTTTTGATCCAAGTTTAACCCAAATATTAAAAATTCTAACCCAAGTCCTAATTTTTTTTGGGTCGGACTCAAGTTGAAATTGGGTTAGCCCATCCAAGTTGCACCCCTACTCTTTAACCAAAATTTGAGTAAAATTTGGTCAAGAGTTATTTAAATTTAGTAATCTGGATGTTGTCTATTTGAATAATTATGTAAAAATATTTTCATGGACTAAAAATTGCGCACTCAAGGACGAGGCATTGTATTGTGGAAATGTTTTAGTGCCAACCAACGGTTTGAAACTAGGATTTAAGGCTCTAACCTCTCACACCTGTTTTGCAAATTGAGCTTTTCATAAACAGTACGATTAAACCAGCTCAGTCTTGACAAAGAAAAATTATAAATTTATAGTCATGAATTCAAACTTTGATAATTTTTTTAGAGTGAGAAATTTATATTTTATAAATTTTTTAGTTTCAACGTAAATGACCCGTTTTTAATCATATTAGGAAGAAAATTAGTTAAGATATGCACAAATTGATACTGATTCTCTTGACCAAAAAAAAAAAACCAACATGATTAGATTGATTCAAAATTTTAGATGGATTCAGATCCTTTTTAATATATATTTTTTATTTTTATTTTTGACAAATCATTTATCGTTAATGACTAATGAGTAAGAGATCTCCAAATATAAAATATGTTATACTTAAATTTATGGTAGGTGATCCATAATAAATATATATATTAGAGAAATTTTATTTAGACTCAGTGAAAAGCTCATTCAATGACATTTACTCATCAAACGAACAGAGTCTAAATTAATTTTAGAATCCGTTAAATAAACAAATAAAATTGAGCAGTGAATTATTAGACGTGAAACCATCCATGCATGCACATATAATGCAATATAAAACATATTATAAGGATTTTTAAATTATTATAAGTTGCACAAAATAAGAGTATATATGATATATAAAAAATATATATATAGGGATAAAGTAGCTGAGCTGCGTTATTATCTTGCACGTGAGTTTGAATTTGAGATTAAGTTCGAATACAAGTTTAAGTTTAACGTGAGCTGAGTTTAAGCTTAAACAAAATATTAGTAAGTCGAGCTTGAACAACATGTTTGAACCTCATTGATGATGTGTAAACTTGAAACGTAAGATTTGTGCTTGAATTGAAGGGCTCAAAACTTAGAAACAGAAGTGTATCCACTATCATTTGTGTGTTCGTGCTTGTTCTGCAACTCTTATCTTTGTTATATGTTTATTGCAGCATCTTATAGTACCATTAGGTTCAACTTTAGATCAATTTCTTTACGTCGTTCATTTTTTTTGAAAAATTTGACTAATCTATTCTAATAGAATTTCTTGTTCATTGAGAGATTTTCTATTATTTGGGGAAGAAGATGGAGTTTCAATTTCAAAGATTACAATTGTTTGACATTTTATGAGAGAATGCCTCTAGTATTTATACCCAGGTGGGGTGGTCCTAACGTCATCATGAATGGACCTTTAGTTCAATAATATTTCTAGTCTTGTAAAAACTTTGTCTTTTTTAAGTTAAAAGTTCAAGTTCCCCTCCCCCTTCCCCTTCCCCTTTTCCCTCCCAAAAAAAAAAAATTCATCATCACATAGTCTCCAAGTTTGTTAAGATTTTGTTAAGAGAATATTGGACCGTTAGAGACTATGTTCCCTAGGTGTGACATTACCTTTTAGAATATGCTGAAGTGAGAGTCTGACCTACCTTCAAGCTTAGATACGATGTAGTCCTCCATATATATGAAAGGTCATGCTATGAAATCATTATGCTTGGGATGATCTCCTATACTGAGTTCAATCCAAACACTTGACTTGACTTGGATGCGATAATTCCCCTCCAGATGCAATTCAGACAATCTAAATACTTGTATTTGAGGTCATACTTACACGATCTTGGCACTTTTACTTGACGTTGGATGCACGATGAGAGGTCACAAGACAAACTTTGTCCATTTGTTATTTCCATAACTCAATTATACAAATATCCTTCTACTTATTCCTGATATTATTCTTAGTATCATCACTCGTCGAAATCGTTAGAGACAATAACAGGTGGCTCTATGCAACCGAATGAGTCGAATCCTAATAAATTCAACCTTTGCTCGATTTGATTCATTTGCACACCTAGCCCTTTCTTGGTGTATCTTACATATTTTAGTTAAAATCTTCTAGATTCATGAAAATTCTCCACTTGGCCCAATAAAGAACGGGCAAGTGGCATTTGCTCTCAATGGACACGTGGCTCTTTCTCTTCTCTCTCTCTCTCTCGACTTTTTTAGGAACAGGTGGTTCAAGCTTTCCCTTGAAGAAATAATTAAGGCAATGATCTTGAATTCTAATAACACAGCACTAATGCTATTAGAACATAATTTAGGGATATAATGGGTTGTCACCAATGAAATGATAGTAAAATGTATTTAATGATGGGTCTCATTGTAGCATGAAATAAATTCATTATCATATCATTGATAACAACTCATTATATCTCCAAATTATGTCCATAAATTATGTCACAATAGCATTACTTATAAAACAGAGCAGCATAATCTGGATTAAAACATACATTGAAGAAATAATTAAGGCAATGATATTGAAATCTAATAAAACAGAGCAGCATAATCTGGACTAAAACATACATTTAAGGGAAAATTTCAATCACACCCCTGTAGTTTATCATATCTTCAAGGACACCCCCTCTAATTTTTGAATCTTCAACGACACCCCTATCAGATTAAAAATATTAAGTAGAATGTAATTTTATTAAATTATTCATGATATATTTGAGGACAAACTTCATCCACACTCCCTCTAGATAAACATATCTTCAATAAGACCTTCTCTAGATAAGTATATTTTCAATGAGACCCTCTCTGTTTTCTATTTTTTTTTTACTTAATTAAATTTAAATCAATTAAAATTCGATTCAAGCTAATTAAAATTTGTGCTAATTAAAAATTATATTTTTTTTACGTATTATAATTTGGGCTAATTAAAATTTTGTTTGAGCCAATTAAAAATTATGTTTAAACGACTCAAATCAAATTTTAATTAATTCGCATTGAATTTTAATCAGCCTAAATTTTAATATATAAAAATATATGAATTTTAATTGACTTAAATTTTAATAAATCTAATTTTAATTGACACAAATTTTAATAAGAAAAAAATATAAATTATAATAGACTCGAAAGAGAATTTTAATCGGCCCTAACAACTCGGATAGAGTTCAAATCGGCTCAAATTCTAATATGTAAAAAAAAAAATTAATAGGCTCGATTTTTTTTTTAAAATTTACTAATTAGTAAATAAAAAATTAGTATTTACTAACAAATTATTTACTAAAATTGTTATTTATGATTTTTTTTAAAATTTTAACAGCTCGAATTTTAATAAAAGTTTATGTAAAAAAATTACTTGAGGCTATGTAAGGGCATTTTTGGTATTTTAGATGAATTAATTTTGTTAGAAATAATAGTATAATGGTAGGGGGTGTTAGTGATGTTTAAATTAAATTAGAAAGGTGTCATTGAAGATTCAGAAACTAGAGAGAGTGTCCTTAAAAATATGGTAAACTAGAGAGGGTGTCATTAAAATTTTCCCTACATTTAATATCCGAATGAAGAAGGTACTCACCCACATCCTAAGTTCGAATATTTTTCTCACCATTATGGTACAATTTACCGTATTTCTTACTCCAAGGTCTTCAATTTTCGAATCTTTTTTCACCTGTTTATATACATTTAGTCTTTTGATACAATCTTTCGCGTAAAATGTTTAGTTTCCTTGATGAGCGTCATTGATGCACCCTTGGAAGTCTTGACATTTGTGGCAGAATTTGTCGCATTTTGTAATTGAATATATTCAATTTTCGGATCTTTATTTGTTTATATACCTTCAATCTCGCACTTTCTTGATATAATCTTTGCATAAATTGTTCATCTATAAACCCTAGACGGTTAATATTGGTGTGCAGATTATTATGTGCGATAAGTCATTGTATGGAGTGTTTTTTTTAGGTGTTTTGTTTGTCTCGACCAAGAATATCTACGATTTAAAGAGAGTTTTAGAAACAAAACACTCTTGGAAAAGTTAGCTGCGAAATATTTACTCATGCCTACTATGGAGAAGAGCAATACTACTGAGACGTAATTTATTGATTTAATTTGTTGACGTAATTATTAATAATCATTGAATTGACAGTGACCCTAGTATTTGTTGGGAATTGCAACTAATGTAATTGTTCTGATGGATTAGAGTATCAAACTAGGTTCAAAAAATATTATTGTACGAAGAAATATATTTAGTCCTGTCGTTTCTTATATATTTATTTTTGGTGTGTTGTGAAGGTTTGAAAAAAAAAAATTCTTAGGTGGGGAATCATGCACCTGAAAAATACTATCTTTAGTTGTGCAAGAAGAAAAGGAAAAATCTAAAACAAGCCACTTTGAACACTTACAAAGCAAAATAAGAGACTATGCAGCATCGTTTCACTTGTTTTTTCTGTGTGTTTAAATTGCTTTTCTGAATCTTTGAACAATGTGTTGTCTAATATAAGAATTACATAGCAGTGACATTTGGTTCTGCGATTCAAGCTTTAATCTATGGGAAAGAAATGGAACGAAACCGTGATTTGTTTGAAGAATCCATTATTTTAGATAGGTCCCAAGCACTCATGTTACCCGTTCTGAGCTCTTGCAGCCTACTTTTGATGTTCTTCACTTGTCTTGCAACTTCTAATTGTTTTCATTGCAATTGTCTCTGCTTCATCCCATTACTTCTGGTTTGCACCATACACTGCCTATATTAGGTAGAAATGGTCTATGTAGCAACACATCAATCATCTATTCTTGTTCACACAGTGGCTAATAAGTTCAGTATTCTTGGATTGCAATTGTTTACTAAAAAACAGGGACTGCCTATTAAGATTGTATTCCCCATAAACTTGTTGCATGGTATGGTACCAGAAAATATTCGTATATGTTTGGTTACTCTAATAATCAAAATCCTCCTCTGAGCATTGAAAGTTGTAGTTCGAGGATTCTTGATATTTAATGCTATAGTGCAGAACCATGTTGCATTATAAATTTTGCATTCAGCTTTTGCTAAATGAATTGTGGCAGTATCATAGTTTGGTGCATGATGCTATGAATTTCCTTTTTACGGTTTATAGAATGTTGATTTGTTTAGTTATTTATATGTGATAGTCTACTGCATCTATTTGGGCGGTTAGAGAATTTAAGCATATTCCGGGGAAGTCCTGGCTATCTTTTGTGTTTATAATCATGGTTGAACGCACATTATATTACCTAAGTCGAATGAACCAGTTACTATGTATGCGCCCTTTGCTGACTTGACTTGATTAAGAACATACTTGTTAGTATTATACGATACGCGATATGATACATTGCGATACATGAAGAGAACGATACGTATTGCTTAAGTGTATTGGTTTACATCGTATCATGCAATACACAATACGATAGACCTGATATATCAAACGATACGTATGAGTTATTCAATACAGGACGAAATAGATCAAAAAAAATTCCTTTAAATTTTAACCAGAAAATGAAGCATTTTCACTTGGAAGTGATTTACTAGGTAATAAAACGATGTTGTTTCACTATCTACAGTTTTTAAGAAATAAAAGTCTTTTTTTTTATTCGTTCTACTGTTGGAGGAAATAGTTTGATTGAGTGTTCTCCTTAGGCTACTTTAGATGTTAGAACTAGGATTCTCTAAATTTTGATATTGATGAATTATGTTACAAACTTCAATACTTAGATTGTTAATTTTTTTTTGGTCCTTGTAGTCTCTATAAATTGTTTTATGTGAGAAATTTATGGTGCAAACAATTTGTCATAGGTGAATATATTTTTTAATATCTTTTATAAAACCACACATATCTTACAATATGCGATACGTTACGATATGCGATACACTGATTTTGAAAAACGATACGCCTTATGATACACATTTTGACAACTTTTATTAAGAATGCCATGTCCTCACTGTTCCTTCAATTGGCCTATTCCGTTTGAATTTGTTTAAGTGACAAACTGTGGCATACTTTTAAGCTTTTGGAATTGTGTTGGGTATGTAGGCCATTCCTTCTATGCTTTTGGCATTAGTACTCTCGTTTGATCATATATGGAGCAAGGATTCAAGTTCACTGAATCCATTGGGGATACCTTCTTGTAAAGGGCACAAGTACATTTGGTATGCTCTGTCTGGATATGCAACTGGACTGGTAGCTTCTTTGGAGCTAGCATTTTGACACACTCACCTCAACCAGCACTTCTATATCTGGTATGTTATTGTTGTTGTGATGGTATTCAATTGTAAGTTTATCACCCATTGGGAGCTGCATTTTTTTTTACTAACCATTTGTGTTCGGAACTCTCTTCATGTTAAGCATGTGCTTATGTGGGGGAGTGAAATAGAGGCTCTAACTTCTGATTCTGCCTTTTAGAAGGAAAATCAAGAACCAAAGATTATGTTGATTTCTTCTAATGCATGCATGTCCTCGTTACAAAAGCAGGGGTGTTTGGAAAGCAGAGAGATTGGTTCACGGAGTTTTGAGGATTCCTGTAAATTTAATAGGGAATCATTAACTGGTGAAAGTTAGTAGCATGGGAGCCAAAATTTGTATGGTTTCAAGTGCATTTCCTTTGTTTTCATCTATTGTTGTTGTTTTTGTTCAGATCTCTTCTGACATTTAAAAAAAAAAAACCCCTAGAGCAAGCACCATTCCGCCATCTTAGCCACTAATTTTTCTCTTCCTAATATTATGAATGCAGGTACCCTTTACTCTTGGACCTTTAATCATCATCCCTTGGATGAGAAAGGAGCTAACAGAGCTTTGGGAAGTAAACAACACCAAATATGGGCGAACATAAGTCTTGTTTGATGGAGGTTTGAGCTCATGATCTTCAGCCTCAGCACCCACATCAGCTCCTGCAGAGCTAATTGGAACATGTCAATTCATTTGTGTGACATTTATCCTTTCTGGACAAACCTTAGTAGAAACTTTCATATTTTTTGAGGTTGACATGGCTGGCTACTAGTTTTTTGGTTGACAAAGTCCAGACACGGATGATGAATTCAATTTGTGCTCTAATCTTTTTTAGAATATCAATACATCTCTAATCTTTTTCAGGATAGTCATAACGATGTTCATTTGATACTTCTACATCATTTCATGAAGAGTCTAGGATCAATCCAAATAAAAGGTCATTCGAGTTTGTTTATTTACTCATTGTACTGAATTCAAGTTCAATTTTGAAGTAAACAAGCCAAGCCCGAATAATGTTTTGTTCGGTTCAACAGCTTGTGAACATTACATATTAAATTACATGTACAGACTACAATATATAAAATCAAATATTTATTACATAAATACAAGGGTTAATTACAAAATGGCCTATTGAAGTTTAGGCCAGATTCAATCAACTCACTCTGATTTTAGTTTTAACAATTTATCCCCTCTAAGTTTGAGTATTTGTAAATTAAGTTATCCGTTAATTTTGACAGTGAAAATGATATATATATATATATATATATTCATTTGTAAATCATATGATCTCAAATTTTACGAAGAGACAAGATCACTATTCACATCATTTTATCTTGGAAAAAAAATTGAAAGTTTTTTGATGTGAAGAAAAATTTATAATTCGGGGTAATTTTTCTTTCTCAACAAATCTGAGATCATGTGACTTAATTTCTATTATTTTTCATTGTCAAAAGTCAAAACTAACAATTTGAGTTAATTGAAAAATGTACAAACTTTGAGGGGGTAATTTGTAAAAATTTAAATTAGAGGGAGTTTATTGCAACTTGATCCACAGTTGAAGTGAATATTTTGTAATTAACCTTAAATAAAATAAATGTACAAGCAAGCATAGCTTAAACTTCAACATGAGCCTGAGTTTCAATTTAAACTGAAAGACAAGCTCGAGCTCAATCCGTGTAAGTAGATGAGATGAGACAAGTCCGAAGTTGGACTTGACGATAAACAAGATATCTGAAACTTGTCGCGAGCCAAAAGTGGGCCATGTACTCTTCACAAATGAGCTAGCCAAGCCCAAACAGACTGATTCTCACCTTGGTTTGGCTCATTTGCACCCATCCGTTTCAATGCCTTGTCTGCCTGACTATTTGCTCAGTAGATGTTTACACATCTTTGTTTGTAGCGATAAGTCACGAAGACTCATCCGTACAATAAGTAAAGAGAATGAAATTAAGGTGGGAATAGACTCAAGATAGGAATGAAATAGAATGGCTAGGTAACCACAGTAGCAGTGAAAAAGAAAAGGGTTCCTACATCAATACTTATACTGCCGAATCACTCTCGAAATTGTGTCACAAACAAGCAAATACTTAACTAGAATCTATTTATAGAATAGCCATGAAAGGATGAATTGTAACTAGAACCCATATAACTGCTCTCACCATCTAATATCAAATACCATAGCTAATAGTCTGAAAGATAGATACATTTATTAGACATAAATGAGCAAACATTGCTCAATTGTTGCTCAAAGCATCCTGCACAGGTCTCTCTGAACTCTCAGAAAGTTAAAGGTAAACTAGAGTTTAGAACAACTTCATGCCTCAACCTTGGGCTTCCATCCTGCAATCACATACTCCTTTGGGGCTTTGGTTTTCTCAAATAACTCCCAAGAGAAAAGTAGCTGCAAAATAAGGACACAAGAAATTAATTATACAACTCTAACAACTTACGTTTCCCCATCTATTCTAAACAAACCCTTAGATTTTCTGACACAATATAATACACACACACACACACACAGAGAGAGAGAGAGGGAGAGAAGAGGAGGAGAGAGAGTTTTCCAATTCCAAACGGTCAAAGAGTAAAATAGCACAAAGAAAAATGAAGCCACATTTCTTCTTTATTATGCTGGTCATACACAAGTATGGGGAGTTATCATCCACAAATTCCCGTCTAGAACCAAATTTTAGAACCACAAGTTCACAGGATGGGAAGCAGAAAAAAATTAGAACGATTCTACTTCTTACACTCTTGTGGAGAATTTGTCGTTCAAACCTGTAATATGCATAAATTCATCAAGTCCCATAACCAAATGGAATGTTAAGTTTTTAGCATTAACTTTCAAGTAGTTCATGACTTAAGATAAAGAGGGAAATAATCCGTCTGCCTAGTTTCTGATTACAAAACAACATATTGACGATAAGCAAGGAAAACTGTTACCATAAGTTTTTTCTTTCTCTTTCCCTGTGAAACTGTACCATAAATTAGGGGCTGTAAATAACACCATATTTTCATTTACGAAAAACTCTTATCCAAAATAGTGATAAAAAAGGTTAATGTAGCATAACAATTGTAATAAGGCCTTGTACAACTCTAACCTAGTATCAATCTATCATTATGGAAGAGTAAGAAAGATTACTATGCAAACTGCAAAGCATGGGGCACTGGCATTTTAGTTGACGTTTTAACAGTATTGTGCACATTATTACAATCTTTGCTTAGGTATATAGGACACACCTGAGAACAAGACCAATTAATGTCATTTGAGAAACCAAGCCGAGAACAGAACTTGTTAAGTTTAGATTGTCTAAAACTAGATCTAAAGCACTAAAATGGATGGCTTAGCAAAACTAATTCCCAAAAAGCCATCGAAATATCAATAATTCCTAGGCACTGTGCCTTTGCAATTAACCACAGTATCACCATCTTGCAAATTATAATTGGAAATAGCATCTAAATATTGGGAATTAGGTTTGTACCTGATCTACCCCTCTTAGACCCCCATTAATGGGGATCAAACTTAATGCTTTCTTTACCCAAATTTCCCAAAGTACATTTAAAACTGGATAATTATACGCACATACATTCTATAGATAGTTGATAATTCAAAGGAAGGGCCTCAAGGATGATATCACTTAGTAAATGAATCTGTTAAACACTTATGCAAGTTATCTTGAATCAATAGATACATCCAACTGCTGAACTGCATTGCTTTCCCTACAACACACTCTTCCTCAAGTATTGAAAATTTGAAACCCTGAAAATAGTGGTGTTAACGAGCTAAATATTATTACCATTAATTTTTCAAGGACTATGTCAAAAGTTCCCACAAGCAGATTCCCTATCTGAGAATGTTTACAATTCATAGATGCCTTTCCTTACAATAGCAACTGCAAAGACATATATAAATGCATGAATCTAGCGCAATCAAATGTGCTTCAGCAGCTAAGAGACTACGTATGCCAGAATTTGTTAATGCCTTCATAGTGCAACCTCAATTAATCTATTTCCTGGCAGCTAAGGTCACTCGCATAACAAAACTCTAGGAGGTGACACCAAGTATTCTGCCAAACACATTAAGTAGCAAAAAACTCCCAGAGAAAATTCATTTCCCTGCTAGTCTCATGATCCAAGATATCTCACTCCAGAGATAGCAAAACTGCATGTATCCATGGATACAGTAAGCAAACCATGGGCCTTTTTTCTTTTCGTCTTTCCTTCTTTCCTTGTTCTTCATACCAAAGTAGGTACCCGCAAATGGGAAATTATATTCTATAGAAAAAACCACTTTATATTATCTGCTTATACCAGGCCAGAAGTCACGATGGTACCACTAAAACAAAAATTTTCAGTGGCACCCCAAACTACAGCTTCCAAAACATAAGTCTCACAATTCTGCCCTAATTAGTATGAACATCTTACATATTAAAATTGGATCCGGTGAAAGGTTTCCCTGAAAAAAACGAAAAAAGAAAACCAGATTTGCAATGAGAAGGAAAAAACTGGATACCTTCACATAACTAAGCACATGAGTCAAGCTTTCAGGGATAGCCCAGCCCTTGAAATGTCCAAGAGCCACCTCCAGATGGTAGAGCTTAGGTGCCAAGCTCAAATCAACAGCAGTAAAGTTTTCCCCACTGATATATGGTCCCTGAATATACATTCACTAACTAATAAAACATAACGGCCAACAGCTTATTCAGGGTGCAGTAATAATTTAAAACACAAAACACATACATGTGCCTTGAGATGCTCATCCAAGGCCTTCAATTCATCAAGCAAAGTCTGCTCTGTACCATCATGCGGATCCTTGCTCTTCAAGAACTTGATGAAAGAAATGAATATTTTGGACCCCCTACAATCTCAAAGAAGCAGGGGCACAAATAGTTAGCACAAGACAACTCCAAACACAGATCAAATGATCAGCGATGGCAACAACAATCAATTGTTACATAATTCGGGGCCAAAAATCAAATTAAAAAGAGGCATATGCAACCAACAATCAATTGTTACATATGCAACTATGGAAGGCACAAAGAAGGAAGACAAATAGATCCTAATGCATAATGTATAAGAATTGAGTCAGCTAACGATGCAAAATGATGAAACTTCTGCTAGGGGGTGCCACGGCAGTGTTGGACACATGTCAGATACGGATAGAAATGCCCTGAATAGTGAACTCAGTCGAACAAGGCCACAAATTATTTTTTTTGAAAAAAATAATCGTTAACTATTAAAAGGGGTGAGATTTCTATTTCTTTTAATATTTTTTTATTATGTAACTTATATATTATAAATCTTAATAGATGTAATGATGTTTGATGAAAATAGTGGATATTTATTTTAATCTATTTCAATATTAATCAAAAAATTAATATTTGTTAGGTCTTATTATTAATATTATATAATATATGCTTTATTTTTAATATATTATAAATCTATTATTACCTAAAAAATATATTATATCATTTTAATAGCCGTATCCTTGCTGCCATACCCATGTCCTATATTTTCAAACTTTGCAGTATCGTCGTGTCTGTGTTTGTGCTTCCTAGCTGGTCAATAGAGCAATGCCGAAAATCAAACTTAAAAGAGGATAAGGATGATAATACTACACCAATTAGCATAAGCCAAAGACATTTCCAAACATTCTCAAACCAATTTAATTGGAGAACAGTGCTGTTCTCTAGAGATTTCGGTTTTATATTTACCCTTAATTAGGAAGACAGATATCTAAAGCTCTCCACAGCACCTCCAATTTCTATTTTTTTTTTCCAAGTTTTGAGACCAAAAACAAATTCCAAAAACTATCCAAACATTCCCAAATTTTTTGCTACAGGCAACGATTGAACAAATAGGGAGAACATAAAATGCTGAAAAAAGGTTATAAACCATGACTTCTCAACAAACAAGTAAAATCACCATCCAAGCACTAAAAAAAAAATTCAAACTTTTTACACAGAGAGAGAGAGAGTCATACACAGAGGCGACTTCGGGGGGAGGAGAGAGAGGAGGGGTTGGGTACTTCTCTTCAATAAGGCCAACGATCACATCAGAATCAGATATCCATTTATCATCAAATTTGATTACAGGGACTTTTCCTTCTGGGTTTACCTCCAAAAACCTAAACAATTCACCCCCACAACAATTGAAAACAAAATCACCACAAATACACTAACTTTAAGTCGGATCATACAAAATACAAAAAATGTTTTATAAAAACAAAAACACCCCAGAAAAAAAAAAAGGGGGTCTGTCGTTAAATTACCATTGGGGCTTGTCGCTGAGATTGATCAGATGCATCGTATAGGGAACTTCCTTCACTTCCAAGGTCAGCTGTACCCTCTGGCAGAATGGGCCTATAGAGTCACAAAAGAATCATTACATCACCCACAAAATTGCTCTCACCATTAGACACTGGAAACACAACTCCATGGAAAAAGTTCACACACACACACACACATATATATATATATAGAGAGAGAGAGACATTACAATCTCCAAGAACATCAGGGGCACCATCGGCAGCCTTAACACAAAGCTCCACAGCAGCCATTGATGGAGTGTTTGACAGACGGGGCTATGCTGAATTCTGGTGAGGTCTCGATGATAGAGGAGGGCGATATAATAGTTCGTGAAATGGGTGGTGTATTTATTGATGGTAATATCACATTATTAATGGTGTACCTAATAATGATAATATGATATATATCAAAAAAATAATAATATAATATTCCCGTTATTTTTATATTTTCTTGAATGTTAGATTGTGTGAATAAGACTATTTTTTAGGTCTATTGTTAGAATATTTTGGGAGATAAGGATTTGAATGTTTTAAGGTCTGATTTGATTATGATGTAATCTAAATTATACACATTTATATAAGATCAAAACAAGTTAAAATTCAAATGTAATATCATAAAAATTTAGGCCAAATTATAAAATTTTGGACTTTTTGGATAGGATTTTGATAAAAAAATAAAGTTGAAATAATTTGAATTTAAATATGATCCGTGAAAATATAATAATTAGATTTAAAAACAAACTTTTTATTTGAAAACGTCGTTCAAAATTTAACCCAAACTTTATTTATTGATAGTTTTACTTGATGGAATTACTATTAGAGTGAATCCTAATCTAGTAAGTCGAGATTGGACTTTTAAATGAATTTTTTTGGTGACACAAATAAAAAAATAATTTTTTGAAACCAACATTGTATGCCTATGAACAACCATGACCAAAGAAAACTTACCCAAAAGCTTTTTCTTTTATTCCATCACTTATTTTTCATTTGTTTTTTTTATGTTAAGGAGGTTCTAGCTAAAATGACAATGCATCAATAAAGTTTACATCACTTTTCCTCCATTGATTGTGACAGGACCATTTGTGCACCCACTTCACATATACTAGAAATATAGTTTTCAACCAAATTAAAATAATATTGTCATAAAAAAAAAATGGTACACTGGCCAAAAAGGAGAGAATAATGTGGCATAAACATCATGAACAAAAAATTAAACTTTAAATATGTAAAAATTAGAACAGCTACGGTACCATTGGTGCTATTATACCAAAAATTATAATTTTTTAATTTTAAATTATAACTTTTTTAAGGTGTAAGATATAACTTTAAAGGACATAATCGATTATGAAAAATTGAGATCGATACTGAGAGTTCATGATTGATCATGAGTGTCTGTGACTCTTCGACAGTTATAATTTCTCTTTTCAAAAATTTTATCATAAAAAAGTGATAACCAGTAGAATGGTACCAATTTTTTTTTTTCCCGGTATGGTAGATTTTCCCTGTAAAAATAAGACCAACAACACCGTTATGATATGTCACATAAGTTAGTGTCTGTTTTTTTTTTTTTTTTTTGATTAGCGGAACATTACTTTAAAAAGAAAAATGTTACATAACTCAAATGAAATTTAAAAATTAAAACTCAAACGCATTTCAATCTTTGGATGAGTGTGGGATCAGTGGACTCCACTGACAAAATTGATGAAACTCACTCATCAAAGAGATGATATGCATTTGGTTTACAATTTTTTGAGTTTCTTTCTTTAAAAAACCCAAAAAAAAAAAAAAGTGGAGCATAACAAGGATAATTATATGATTCTATGTTGTTCCGTAATAAATGAATCTTAAATGCTTAATCTCCCTAATGAATCTCAATTTAAATGAGAGAAATCTTAATACAACTGGTACCTACATGGTCATGAAAATGAACTTAAACTGAATTGTGGCCATGTTCATTTTCAAAAATGAACTTAGTTAGGCAACGTGGCTTCTATCTAACCTTATTTGAATTAACAAGTGAATTTGGAATGAGTTTTGTTGAGCCCTTCTCCAATAAATTGATTTTTTATTCAGTTTTTGGATAATAATTAGTGGATATAGTATAGATTTCCACAAATTTACAATTTCATTTAATTTCTATCAATAATATAAAGTCGTGGACTAGCTAAATAGAGACCCACTATCATGAGAAAATATTCAATACAACGGTGACACTTTGTCATTACTGTCACGTGATATCCTCATCCGATTAGAAGAGATCACAAGTAAGTAAAATGAACCGCACTATTTTCGTAACTACCAATAACCACCACTTTCAATCATTGACACATAGAATTAGTGGGATTTATTTTACTTGTGAGAGAAACTAAAACAAATATATTAAAAGGAATCTAATTCCTAATTAGCTTACCAATTTGAATTAAAACCAAGCTAAAAATTACAAACCATAATAGTATGTTCAAGCTTGACTCATCCATGGTACAAGCAAGATTGTGAATGAAGCCCCCAATAAATTGATCTTGAATAGCTTGTTTCGTTTTACGATGTTCGTAGTACGTTAATTGGAACGATAATATTGGGTTTAACGATGATAGCATGTAAGGCCGCTCTAAAAATACTTGAGTCCCTAGGCAAAATTTTTGGATGAGACCCTAAATTATGTTTAGATGGATAGTTTATTTATTTTTATTATTAAATTTAAAATATTTAAATTTATATATTTTAGTAAGTATATTTAAGGAGAAAAATATCTTGCAAAACAAATATATTATGTAACTGATTATATTAAAATCAACTTAACTCAAAAATAATAGTTCAAACAAATAAAACTAAATAAATAAATCAGAATTATTGCAAATTCATATAAAATAAGAGCATAAAATCTTGTAATTTTTTGTATAAGAATCTAGTGTCAAATTGCAATTTTTTTTTTTTGAATGTACATAGATTTACGATTTAAATAACAAAATTTTTTATCATTTTACCAAACATCCTAATTTTTTTACTTTGTTTAAATATATTTAATATAATTTTTGTGAAAGAAACAAACATGAACGGCCCTAGGCAAGTAGGGGACCCTAAGCGACCACCTCACTTGTCTAGGGGTAGGGTCGACACTGATATCACGTTATCAATATCACGTGGTATTACCATCTCATTATTAAATAACAAATATAATTGGTAAATCTCACTATTTTAACACAACAGTTATTAGAATAAGTGGTACACTTCGTATTCTATCATTAATTAATAATAACACATGACATTAGTGATGTGGTGTTATCGTTACGTTCGATATTTTGTTATCATATGGACCCTTCGTTTTCTCTAAATAGTGTTGCTGAAACAAACGGTGAACATCAAGAATGGAAGAATCTGTTCAAAAGGAAGAGGCATCAAGATTGTTGGGGGATACCATGCCTCTACTTTTATCATAGTGTTATCAACCCATCTCACTCATTGCCTTAGCTCCAAATTGCATGAGTAGTCTACTATCATTTTGTTTTGACATCTCTTCTTTGCCATTGAGTGTCATAGGAGCCTCTCCTATTGCCATGAGTCTCAAAATTTTTTACCAAAAGTTGGTGTCATTTCAAAATATTACACCTAATCCAATAATTAACTCAAGACTAACTCTACACGACTTACACACGAAATGACCACAAATTATACAAAAGAATATATATTTGTTTTTTTATTAAGTATTACGATTAAGAGTATCTAACTCAACTTACATGCATCTTGACTAGTCTCATCTGACTTCTCCAATCAGATCAAAGATAGAGATCATCTACGTCAAGACTAGAGGCAGAGCTAAGCTTGGTCTAGGGTCAACAAGGTCCCCTCCCCCCACTAAATTTTTTTTTATTATCTATGTATATATATTATATATTTGTATAATATCTCACTTGTGCCACTCAAAACCAAAGACAAAGTGCTAGACCCACCACTATTCACCCAAAATAATTAAAAAACCAAGCTCACTTAAAAAAAAGAAAAAATTTGGACCCACCACCAGTTAAATCAAAGGCTCGAAGTGAGAACAGAATTTTGTTGAGTGTATCCTTAAAAAAATTTTCTTAATATTATCTATATGTATTGTAAATATTTTTAATTATACCCACTCTATTTTTCAACACATCAATTAGTGTACACGTATATCAAATGAATATGAATTTTGACACATTTTGGACATATTATGTATCTATCTAGATAAATTTTGAATATACTAGAATTATTTTATACTTTCCAAAACTAGAAAAAAACATGATATACATATTAGCTAGTTTACTTGTAATTTTGACACTTATTTTATTAATTACGGTCGACATTATAGATTACACATTGAACTACATAATCGAATGAGTAATAAATACCGAAGTAATAGTGTATATAAAAATAAATAAAGTTGTTATGCAATAGTTTCCAATGATAAAAATTCATCGGAGTCAATTATAAATAATTTTAATTATTCTATATTTTGTAAAATTATAAAATTACTCTTTTTTTATTATTGTTATTTGTATATACTAGGTTTACTAATTTTTGGTCTATTGGATTTAATGAAATTTTAAATATTAAATATGATGTAATTAAATATAAATTATTATCTTATTTCTATCGACCGTAAGAAAAAAATATTTAATTTATTAAAATATTTGTGCCCACCTTGACACAATTTTCTAGCTCTATCCTAGTCAAGACTATAAAGTTTATGGAGATAAATTTCTCATGGCTGATCTAAGGGAAGTTGCCAAACTTTAAATTCAAAACATCTTGTTTTACAGTTAATCTCTATCTCTACTGAGTGATGAATGAGGCTGCTCAAGCTCAGCTTGAACTTAGATATCAAGCTTCAATTTTTGTTCAAGCCCGACCCGACAAATGACAAATCCACAAGTTCCAAAATCCCAAATTATAATTCATAAAAAAAATTCAAAAATTGAACAAATCTTACAAATAGACAGCATATATCGACATGAAATGTAATCGATATGGCCTTTTTGATGCATCGTTAGATTGAGAAAACACAGCGTCCAAGTTCAGACCATCCCCCGAGCCATGAACCACAGGCCCAGGGTCTTCCACGGTATCGGATCAAAAAGGTTTATTATACAGCCACACTAAGCAATTATCATTAAAATTTTTAATTACTAAATTAATAGCGAATTATTGAATTAATAAATACCATTAATATTTTCTAATAGGAGTAGTTGATCCAATCATCTATGTCCAAATAATAAAAGTACATTAAGATAAAAACATTTGAATCTCTATTTTACCCTTATAAAATATTGTAAAGACTATTCTATCATTTCATAATTAAATATCTAAATCATTATCATATCCTTATGTTTTTAAATCTCCAAATTATCTATAACATCTCTTTTAATTATTTAATTAATTTTTATAAAAAAAAAAATTTGATTGATTATATTACCCTTAAAAATATGCATCATTATATTTTTAATAAAATATTTAAAAAACATTTAAAAACTCCGTCAATCTAATATTACTTATCTTATATGCAAAGATAATATTATGTCTATATATGTGTATTTTCTTTTCATCGAAAAATTTAACCCTTTTAATTCTAAGATAAAAAATAATTGTATATATAATTTTTTAAAATTAATTTGCATTACGTGAGTATAATTCTTTAATCACAATAAACATTTCAAGTTGTATTAAGATTTTATGCAAAAATAGATATTGTAGTATATTTTTAAGTAAAACTTAATTTTTTTAGATTTTTAATATGCTTGATAATATATATTATAGAGTAGTATATTAAATCTTATCCTAATTGACCTAACTAATTCCTAATTATAGTAAGGTTCCAATGTGATTAATATATTGACAATTATTATGTTTTTATTCAAGGAATTATAAATGGAATCCTAATCAAATGAATTTTAAGAAATTTAATTCTCAAACATCACTAAAAAATAATCTCAATCACAAAATTCTAAAAAATATAACTTTAACTATTTCTTTTTTTTAATTTATTTTTTATAGTTAAGACTAAGAATTTTGAGAACATACATAATATAATACAAGCAATGTAAATTAAATTTGATAAAATTTAGATGATATTTAATTTAGATACAAATATACCTATTATGTTTTATTAATTTTTAAGTACAAAAATTATTCTTGTGTAACGCACATGGTACATGCTAATAATAACCAAATGAGTCCTAGTTATTTAAGTTTAAACTAGAATTAGACTGAATTCTCGAATTTTCATGACTAAATTCTATTGAATTTTAATTTTAATTCTCAGTTCGAATTATGAAACCAAAAAATCATACCCGACTTAATCTTAATTTTGATTTTAAAAATTAAACCCTAGTAATTGAATTCAAATTCAAACCTAAAAATAGCAATTCGAGCATTAATAGTAATCAAGTTGAAAATGTTTAGATTAAATTCAAATATTGGTTGCATTCAAGATGACAAATTCAATTGCTTGAGCTAATCTCTCCATACCCAAAAAAAAAAAAAAGAAAAAAAAAAAAGAAAAACAGCGGACCTCTCAATCCGATTGAGCCACCCTAATCTTCCATTTTTTTTTTATAAACAGAAAAAAAGGTAAGGATAAAGAAGAACACTCATATATCAATCCGATGGGTTTTCACAGATGAGATCACGAGGCTCATGATCTAATTAGAATAGCATAACGATCAACTATTGAACTTCAACGAAATTTCCAAAACTCGAATCTATAATCTTAAAATAAAAATATTGATCGATAACATACTTAAACCACCCCACTGCGTGGTCACCCCATGCTTGTCACGTGAAAGTTGAAACATGAATTCTGCCGCGAATGTTACGTCGGAATCGTCGGAATATTCTATGTAGTGCCAAATATAGTAAAAAGGTAGGTAACCATCGTATTCCTATCTCGTACTTTCCACTCACTTATTTCCAACGTCAAATTATGGTATTAAAGTCGGAGAGTTGACTACGGAACCATAGAGGTTTTTTTTTTTTTTTGGGTACCATACATCTATTTATAATATTTGTGGCTGTTTTATTATATGTTTTAGATATTTTTACAACTATTATAATATTCAAAAATTGATAAAAAATAGTTATTACAGTAATAATAATAAAAAAAAAATATTCACAACTGTAGAAAATCACCCACAAAAATGATAATTTTGTTTGTAGCGAAGAAAAGTAGTAAAAACACTCACAACAGTTATAAAAATACATACAAAAGTGATAAATTTTTAATTGTAAATGACCCCACAAAAATTGTAAAAACACTCATTAAAATAGTAAAAATTGAAGGTACGACACTGAAATCTTTTCTTTGGTACCGTAGCCAAATTTTAAAAGTTGGTATCGTGTGAAAATTTAAATGCTAAATTATAATTTTTGAAGGCATAAAATTATAATTGCAAAAAGACATGATTGAGGCTAAAATGTTATAATCGACAATACAAGTTATAACATTTAAATATAAAATTATAACTTTTAAAGATTAAGGTATACTTTTTAAAGGTATAACTACAACTGATTAGATAATATTCCTGATCGATTATATATTTAGAATTGACCATGATTTATCCCAAGCAAGGATAAAACCATAATTCTATCACGAGGGGGCCGAACAATAATATAAGTAAGAATTTTATTTTTCTAGATAAATTTGTAACTACGCAATAAAAATTAATTTAGATAACAAAATTCATTAATTAGACTTACCATCATAGATTTTTTATACAAAAGTGTGTCGTAAATTGAAACATTATTTTTTATACAATTCATCTTTATAATCTAATTTTACAAAAATTGTATAATTTTTTTTTAAAATTTTTTTTAGTCATTATACTTCTCCATCTAACATACTTACTTGTAAGAACATCACTCATCCCTAGATTGTACCTCCCCTATTTAAGTATTAAATATCAATTCATTAGTCTTCTTAAATATAATAAGTGCATTATCTATATATAATGTGTTTTAGAATCTAAGAGAAAACATAGAATTTGTAAAATTTATGAGGTGGTATATAGATTTTTGAGGGACAATCGGTAGATTTTAGGAATAGTTTAAATGGTAATAATGATGAATTATAGACTCAAATGTCCTGTGTTTGAATCTTGATAATTTTTTAAAATTAGGTTATGAAAAATTTATCTTTCATAAATTTTTTAGTTTTTTTATGGATGATCTAATTTTGATTGTTTTAGTAAGAGAATTAATTGAAGTAAGTATAAACTAATAATAAGGAGATGTCAAACAATTGAACAAAAAAAAAAGGAAGGGATTTTTGAAAAAGTAGAGGGGCTAAGCCGCCTAGGCCTTTTTCTTTGAAAAATTTATCCTAGGCCTTTTCCTTCAAACACTATAATGACGGAAGTTTGTTTCACTAGGTATGGTTATGTCCTTTATAAGTGGAGTGTTGTGATGACTATACTTGGCGGCATATTTTTCTGCTAAAACCCTGGTTGGGCATACTCATTCTCTTTGACCCAACACTGTCCAAACTATGGCGAAACACATGCGTTGACCACATTAATGTCGGTCGGCGCCTACAATAATTCAAACCCAAATCCCCATCATTTCTGATCACGAAGAGGACGACTACATATCATCAAAACCCAATACTCCTATTCCGTTTCATTTGCGATTTTCGAGGCCATATATTCCAAAATCCAAAGAATTTATCACCCATAATGATTTCCTAGGATTTTGCTCTTCCTACTGTGTTGGAGGCGTGGCCTATCTTTGTCTGATGTTCAATCTGTTATTGATACCACTTGATCAGCTATATATATGTCATCGACAGTTGATAGAGTTTGATGGGCCAATTGCAATCGCGTTCCTATGAGCATATTGACGTGAAAAAAACTATTTTCAATATGAAGAGGAGCTCTCAGAGAAGGTCAGATTTTATATTATTTTTTGAGTTTTTTTTTTATATTTATTCTTATTGGGTTTGTTAAATTCAAAATGATTGTGTGGATTTTCGGGATTCGAGGTTTTGGGTGTTCCTGTTTGTTGGATGAAATTGATACGTATTAATGTAATGGAATCAATTTGGTTTAAGTATTATGTTTTTTGGTTAGTTATAGTGGTAATGAAATGATTGTGTTTGGTTTTGAATTGAACTTATTTGAGTGTAATTATTGTATCTGTTGTTTGTATGATGGCTGAGCTGTGGGTTGAGCTTTTTACTGTTTGTATGTGCCATTTTTTTTAATTCAGATGATAATGGTTCTGGTCTGCTTCAACCTTTCCTTTTAACTGTCCTGATCATTTGATTATATATATCATGTTAAGTTAATTGATTTTTATGCTTTTGATTCCGATTCTCCTGCAAAATTATTTTGCTTTTGTTTTTCACTTTCAAGTGGATATGGTGGAAATGTTTTAGACATGATGTTTCAAGTATGAGTTCCTATGTAATAAATATGGCTGAAATTTGAATTCATCTGCTATACATCATTTGTTCACTGGCTTAAGAGTTCAGCTTTGAAGCTTATCGATTGAGCACTTCTCTATTTTGCTTGAATATTACTTCTATGAAATCATACAAATTCCTGTTATTAATTGTTCACTTTTAGTTATTCTTCTTCAATGCTTCTTCTTTTTCCCTTCGAAGAATTTGGAAATTGATTTAACATTTAACAGATATTTTCAATGTAGAACGATGGGAATAAATTCTGGTTTCGCACAATCTTCCACTACTGGTTTATTTTCTTAGTGTTTGTTCAGGTTCACTGCTGTCTATGAGTGTATTTATTTTCATAAGCATCCTCATTGACTGTTCATCTAAATATGGTAGATTCATTTTCTGGGAAGAGGGAGACTCAAGAAACTAGAGAGACTTCAAATTTGGAATCAAAATCTTGCTCTTGCAGGAGTGATTGTGGTGCTGAGGAAGACAAGGTAAGCGGCTATTTTCTGTTGTGCTTAATTTCGTGAAGCAGCATGTTTTTTCATTGCATTAAAAGCCACTCAAGTGGCAGTACCTGCACTGGTGAAAATCTGTGATGGAGTGCTACAAGAAGCATTTTTGTCACCTATATTTAAAATAACTAGAACATTGCTCTCTTTTCTAATATGAGAATTATTTTCTGTCATAATGTAATGTCTGACAATGCAAATGTATTTGTTTTTTTCTGGACAGTGCCACGATTTAAGTGATCTTATTTTATGATAGCTGAAGAATTGTCAGTAGGTATGGAAGCCAACCACCACACACCAAGTGTTATTGCAAGATTAATGGGTCTGGATGAACTGCCAGCACAGCAGCCCATTCATAAACAACAAAGAGTGCTATCTGAGGATTATCTGCGAAAATCTGCTTCTATAGGTTTGCTCGAGAAGCACTCATGCTATAAAAGCCGTACGTCTCGGATAAAAATTGGGAAGCAGCAAGAATTTAAGGATGTGTTTGGAGCGCAGATACTGAAAAAGGATAAACAACGCAACCTGTTGGTTCCACAGAAAAATGAAAATTCAAGCACAACTGAAGCAAAGATGACATCAATAAGGCAACAATTTTCCAATGCAAAAAATATTTCAATGAATGAGGAGCTTTGGCATTCCCTAGAATTTGAAGATGTGCTGGAAGATCTAGATTCTAAAAAGGGTACTCTACCGAGATATCTTAAGGAACCAGATTCTTTATTAATCAAAAACTTGCATGATCGGCAGGGCCTCCAACCAAGTTCCCGCTCAAGTTGCTTAACATTCTTGAAGTCTTCCTATGTTGCTAGTTACAGAAAGAATGAAATATGCAGAAATTCAGAGAAGAAAACTTATCACAGGAACATTTTGAGACCAAATCAGAAACTTGAGAATGATTTTAACACTGGTTCCGGTGGAAGACTTGATATGGATAACTTGCACAAGAATTTCAAATCCCGATTGAAGTTTAGGGATGAGACATGCCATTCCCCTGCAAGGATTGTTTTGCTGAAGCCAAATTTCGTAAAGGTACAGAATGCTGCAAGATTTTCTTTTTCGCCTAGTTCTGATGTAGGTTTTGAGTGGGATGACAAAAACCACGAGAAGTTTCATAGACCCAGAAATGGGGAATCATACAATGAAGTAACAGAAATAAAAAGGTCATCTAATGATATGGAACCTTCTAGGCATTCTTTTAGAGTTTCAAGGGGCAATGCAAAGAAAACAGCCCAACAAATTCAGCATAGCATTAGTGGCAGTTCTGCCGAATCAAGACAAGAATTGAGAGGTTACAGCATCTCTGCAAATGAGTCTGAAATGGTGATGCTTTCTTGTCCAAATTTCGTTGATTGGAAATACAGAAACCAGATCTCATATCCCCCTTCAAATGGGTTGTCTTTGGCCGAGGAAGACAAGAAGCAACTCTTAGAACGAAGGGAAATGACCAAAAGTTTTCAAGAAGTTGGAGCTGCCAGTAGGACTTGTACCCTAGGTGAAATGCTTGCAATCCCTGATCAGGAAACAAGGCCAAGAAATTTGAACTACAAACCTGACGAACACGTCCTGTGCAGTCAATTCAATATGAATGGTGGAAACTTAGATTTGGTTAGTCCTTCGGCTATTACCAGTAAGGATTGTTGGAAGGATGAGAGTGTCAGAAACTTATCAAGATCCAGACCTCTTCATTATTCTTGTAATATTGTTGGAAGTCCTAAATCTAGGACCAGAGGTGAAGCTTTTTTCAGAGGCTGGTGTTTGAGGCGAGAAGAAGCCATTTCTGGGGAAGAGAACAAGTCGAGGAAACAGGAATTTTCCCAGAGATATGCTATAAGTCTGAACGACTCGAAATTTAGTTGTGAAAAACCTCTGTCTGTTGTTCCTTTTATGGACTTGGAGAGTATTCGCAACATACAAGAAACTTGTGCAGTCCTCGATGAGCTGGAAAGTAAACCAGAGGAGAACGATATATGTGAAGAAAATCCTTTGGTTATTATGTTGTCTAGTAGTGATGTCCCCTACTCAAGTTCAGACTATGATCGCCCAATCCAGGGTACTCAGATAATTCAGGATGATCTGGAAAACAGTTATGACGAGACTGATGTGTCTAAAGACTCTGGACAAAATTATAAAATTTCAAACTTATCAGTTGATATTCTTGCCACTGTAAGTAGAGTTGCTGATGTAGTGGCAGACGGAAAAACTGGGAGTGATGGAATTTCTTCTGGAATCTCTGACCAGCAGCAGTCTGGACCAACACCCAACATCTTGTTAGTGAAAAATGGAAATTGCCCTTCTCATGTCTGGGATGCTTCAACTGGACAGGTTCAATTTTTTCCACCTGATCTTTGAATGATTCAAGATGGATTCTTCTGTGTATTATTTATATGATAGTATTCAAGAATTGCTTTGCAATGGTTTTTTGGTTGTATCCCAATATTGTGAGCAACTCTTCCTTCAAACATTGGCTGGTAGGTTTGGTAACTAGGTAATTGCTGCACAAGCCTCTAGCTTATCCCTTTAACCTTTTAGTTTTCTGAAGCACCCACACAGCTGTGTGTCTCCTACTTCAACCATTGGTTGGTAGATGTGGGTAACTAAGTAATTCCGAGCACCACAATAGAAATTCAGCGTTGGTCTCTCTCTCCACTCATACGTAGTTGCATATGTCTTCCCTGTTGATTAATGTGTTCTATAATGTGGACAACTGAATTTCTACGGAGTTGTAAAGTGGCTCAAGCTTGACTGCTTGCTGTGATGCTAGCTTGGCAGACTGCATACAAGATGGTTCTCTATTTTTTGTTCTGCTGCGTGTTTGGACTAATATTTATTTACAAATATTTTTTAACTCCAGTTAATTTTTTAACTATGTTGGATATGTATTATCGACTGAACTTATAACATTGTTTATTTTTGGTTATTAAAATCCATTTAACAGTTATAAAATTCTTCTTTTGCAATTGTTAATTTATGTGCTTTACACAAGATAGTACAATTAGTGTGTTGTATAGTGGAAAATGAGACTGGAGGCATCATATTGTATTTATGATGGCAAACTTTATTGTGTGGTGACACTTAAATGGGACACTTCTTGAAGGAATTGTGATCGACACTGGTCAGATATAAAAAGGTTCGACGCATGTGGATACTCCGGACATGTTGAAACTCTCCTGTGTTTATTTAGTTGACCTGTTTTTTTTTCCAAAATTTATGCATATGGCCTTAACTGATTAAGCATGCAAACAATTTTTCCATAAGAAATGGAATATGGTGGTACCAAGAAATGAAAAGTTAGGATCGTAGTTCACATTATAGTAGTGTTGTTCAGGGTTGTCTTCCATTTTTTTTTTTTTGGGGGGGGGGGTTAATTTGCTTGTCTTCCTGGTTATGCAGTTGTTAGTGTAGGAACTTAGATAACTTGTCAAAGGTCTGGACTTTATTTCTGCATGGGCACAAACGCGCACACATCTGATTTTTGGATTTTGTCTTGCTCTCATGATTTGTTAGACCTTCTATTTGAGGAATTGTCTTTGTTGGCATGTATGCGATGTGATATGCAAAACTGATTTTCGTTAAGCAAAGACCAATGACACATCATCTACACAAAGCATTAGTGAATATTTGCTTTCAGAAACTTGTTATGTATGAATCAAATCACATAAGGGCAAAGAAACATGTAATTAATTTCATTCTCTGTGGTTAAAAAAAAAAGTAGCTGCAATTTCACAATGCTAGGCAAACCCACCAAATACAAGATATGGTGCCACGAAGCCTTGTATTCTGTTGAGTTTCCTTTCACTATTTTTGAATAAAATTGTAGCACATACAAGGTCATGCTATTGGGATTTCATGTCAGATTGTCATGGTTTACTACGATATTCTGGTAGCACTAGTGTTACAGAGCCCATATCCTTGGTGCAAGCTTTACTTTTTTGAAGGACCTAACTTGGTTCTTTTGTTTCAATTTGTGTTGCTGAGCTATGCGCATAAGTGAGTTGGTTAATTCGAATTTTCTGCAACTTTTGGTTTTTAACACATCTGGATGCTGCCAGTGTGGTACGGAAGGTGAAATATCTCCAATAAATGTAACACATGGTTAAGAAATTCAATCAAATCCTTTTGTCTATTTTTGGTTTCGTTTCTTTCCCATAGTTGCAGTGCTTCTTTTTCATTTCATTTTCAATTTTTTCTGTTTTGAAAAACTTTTTTTTTGGTGGTAAGTTGATAGCTGATTTTTGCATTGTACCACATAATGTTATTTATTCCTTACCTACTGCTTTCATTATAATGCAGAAATCATCTATTGGATCCCCAGAAGAAGGATTGGTTCCATCAAACTGCACCAAAACTGACCCGGAATTTCCTATGAGCTTGGGGGAAGCTTATCAGCCAAGTCCAAATTCAGTGCTGGAACCATCTTTCGAGGAAGAGATTTCATCTGGTTCTAAATGCTTTGAAAGTGCCTGCGCTGATCTCCAAGGTGAGTGTCTCAAAAAAAGGGTCTTTTCTGTCCATTGTACCCAATTTTTTTCTCTGAATATTTGTTTTCTTTCTTTCTATGACCTTTACTAGGTCTATGGATGCAACTTCAGCTTCTTAAGTCAGAGTCGGAAGACACCCATTCCGAAACATCTGGAATGTTAGTGTCAAGTGATGAAGACACAGGGGAAGGATCTGTTGATCTTTCTGACAAAAATGGGAAGTTGACTGGGTTGTTCAGAGCAGAAGAGGGTAGGGATTTCTCCTACCTAGTTGATGCATTAGATGAGGCAGGCTTTCAAGGTGGGAATTTGGAAATGGGATTTGAAACATGGTACTCTCCAGAATGCCCAGTGAGCCCCTCGGTGTTTGAGGCACTAGAGAAGAAATATGGTAAGCAGACATCTTGGGAGAAGTTAGAAAGGAGGCTTTTGTTTGACCGTATAAATGCAGGATTGATGGAGATTCTGAACACTGGCAGCATGGATTGTTACATGTGGTCAAAGCCGTTGAGGAGAAGGATTAGTTCCGCATTGAGGAGGGATGTGGTTGAGGAAGAGTTGTGGTTGTTGCTGGTTAGCCAGGAAAAGGAAGTGAGCAAGGACTTGTCCGAGAAGGCCTTGGGAAAGAAAATGAGGTGGCTGGACACGGGAGACGATATTAGTGCCATTTGTACAGAGATGGAAATTTTTTTGTTCAATGAGCTGGCGGAGGAATTTGCTAGTGTTTTGAGTATTTGATAGAGGTTTGGTTTGTTATTGCAGATTTGTGTAATGTTCATACAGCAAAAATTTTGGCATATTTATTCAAAGTGTGTATAGCTACAATTATTTATTTATTATGTTGGAGAGAAAATAGATTGGTGAGGTACGATTATGTTAAACAAATATTAGAATTGGTGTATCTGTCATTGATGACAGCTGAATATGAATATGGGCAGGATATTGTTTTGCAGATGAGCTTAAATATCCGTTCGAAGTGATCAATCAAATTTCTGTCAAGTGATCGCATGAATTGCTTGTGGATATCTGTGACACACACGCGCGCATGACGATGGAATGTTTTATTTTGTAACTACTGATTACCTAAATGGTAATCTTGTGTGTTTGTCTGTGCATACGTATGTAGCCTTAATGTGTTTTTCGAGAGCAAAAGAAATCAAATAGATGGGATGATGCTCTTTTACAAGTATCTTAGATGAGCCATTCTCTGTTGGATCATAGTTGATGCACAAAGGATTTTAGCCACCATTCTTTTGACAAGTTTAACATCACCAAACAAGGAGATGACTAGATTTCACTCATTTCAGCATGGCCACTGCACTCTTAGCAGCATATCCTTGTGGGGATTTATAGAATTAAGATTGCTGCATTGTGACATGAACTTCAACAATTTGAGTCGCATAAGAGTGTAAGGTTACAGATATCTGACCCTCTTATGGATTTGGAATGGTCAAAGGCCTAATAGATCTCATTCAAAGCATTCATAGGTCTCACAGATTGTTCTGCTTTCCCTCTCTTGGAGTGGAGCTCTCAGTTTATGAGAACTGGCCTTGTGCTTTTGCTCCATCTTTGTGTGCTTTGTCTTGAACCTGTTGTCTTTTACCAACTCCCCTTAGAAAACCACTAGTGGGTCAGCGGGTCTCTCGTCTATGGAATGGCCAGCATCTACACCCAATTCCTAAACTCCAGCTCCTGCTCATGAAAGTTAAGATTCCACCTAGATCTAATTCTTCTTTTCTTGACTCCATGCTGAAGGCTGAAGGATCAAATAGGTCATGGCTTCTTTGGGGATTCGTTGAAACCAAGTTGAGTTTTTCTTAAAAAGAACAGATGAAGGAGCCTATAGTAGAGTAGCCTAACTCACTGGCAATGCTAAAGGCTATTAAATAGTAGCTTAAGCAGACGATGGACGAGACTTTGGAAGAGTGGCTTTCTGGTGAGGTTGCTTCAACCAACTTTACAGATATCTGACCCTCTCATATTCTGCAGCGAGTGAGAGTCTCATGCATTGTGGACCACCATTTTTCTTGATATATGCTAATGTGTGTGTGTGTGTGTGTGTGTTGGGGGGAGGGGGGAGGGGTTGGTACAGTGAAATTTGTCCTAAATAAAATGCAACTGCCAGGTCCTGGAAAAATTCAAATGTTACCTTAACTGTAAATTGCATTGCTAAATACATACTCCAACCATTCCTCTTCAACCCTATTTCCTAGACTTATACAGAAAGTCTGCTGTTTCTAACCAAAACATTAAAAATAGGGAACAGAAGCACCAACTCCATTTCATCAACTCCCTTCTTAAAACCAGACACATATATCCATGCACATTAACATAATCTCCAATTCAAAGTCAAATTACCAAAAATAGGAATCCAGATTTTCCAAAATTTCATATTCCCATCAAACTCATCATATGGAAACAGTGAGATTTATTTCTTCTTCTTTGGTTATCAAAGCCTACATTTTGTTACTAATTCTCTTTATGGCATCTTCTTCTTCTGCTCGAATTCCCGATGAGGAACCACCAATACCAGTTGCTATAATTGCAGCAACACAGCCTAATACTGGTGGCAATGTTGCGGCCGTAACTAGTGGCACTGTGGCTAATCCTGACCCCTACCATACCTTATCCTTCTTTATGCATGACATACTTGGTGGCTCAAACCCCACCGCTCGTGCTGTGACAGGGATAGTCACCAATCCTGCTGTCAATGGTCGAATCCCATTTGCCAAGCCCAATGGTGCAGTCCTCCCAGTGAACAATAGGGTGCCCCTAAATAATGGCTACATGGGACTTGACAACATTCCATTCCTCACTGGCCTTGGTGGCAGCACATCAACTGTGATCCAAAACAATGGAAACAATTTCATCACTGGAGGAGTCAGGTTCCCTATCCTAAATGGGGCCCAATTTCCTCGAGGCTCCGCCCTTCAGAGGCTTATGTTTGGCACTGTGACTGTAATGGATGATGAGCTAACCAAAGGGCATGAGCTCGGGTCTGGCTTGGTTGGGAAAGCACAAGGATTCTATGTGGCAAGCTCGGAAGATGGTAGCAGTCAGACAATGGCATTTACAGCTATGTTTGAGAGTGGAAGCTATGCAGATAGCCTTAGCTTCTTTGGAGTTCATAGAATGGCTGCCTCAGAGTCTCAATTAGCCATCATGGGTGGGACTGGAAAGTATGTGAATGCCAAGGGATACGCGACCATGAAAACCATTCCATCGATTAATCAGCAAACAACAACTGATGGCGTGGAGACGCTGCTGGAATTCGTGGTTCATGTTACTTGCTAATCGATTCTGTTTGAGGATTTTATAGTATCTGAATTCTCAGCAATGTTAAAAACTTTCCAACATAACTCAAAAGCAAAAAAAGGCTTTGTTTATTGTTTGTTTTCATAGTTTTTGATTTTTGAGCAATCATGTATTTTTCCTTCTCTTTCATAAAAGAATTGGATTGATTCATTTTGTTTCTTAAAAAATTTCTGGTTTTCACATCAGTCCCTCCAAATGGTGTAGTTGGTAATTAAACTCATAATGTTGTGGTTATTGGCATGAAATCCTTAAGTAAGAGCTGTTGGTTACCTAGGGCCGAAAATATACCACAAGCAAGATATGAACAGAAGAGGAATCTTTATTTCTCTCGGAAAATAGAATATAAAAATTTTTATAAAAATTCTCACAAATGAGATCTCTCAAGAATCTCTCTCTCACTGTTTCTTCCTCACTAATCATTGAGCACGCTTTTGGCCTTCAGTAAGCTCCCTATTTATAGAGAGTTTATGGCCAAAAAGTCAAGAAAAGAAGAGAACCCATTAAATGTTGGTGTCAATCATGTTCCAAATTCACAGCAGATGCTATAGACAATGCAACAACTCGTAACTCAGAATCAATAGATCTTCCAACTGATGCTTACTGGACAGTAAGGCGGAGCACAGCCTGGAGGACATAAATCCAGAGGAGCTCCACGCCCTGGGCATCAAAGAGCTCCCTACTTGGATGTACTCTTTGGAGCCCCCTTAGGCGCCCCACACAGGGAAGTCCCTCCTCAGAACTATGAGATAGCTTCACCTCTTCCTCCAGTTCCCCCTTCCTATGGTGGAGACCCTCATTTCCAAGAGGATGAGGCCAAGAATTGAAGTGTAGAGCACGAGAGTCATTTCCATGACAATTCCAACGGAGTCCTCAATCACTGGGACAAAAAAAATCAAAGAGGTGCAAAATCAACTAAGTGACGTCTTCAACGCCATGAAGGCACAAGAACCTGAGACTTTGGACTATCTCGTAAGGCAAATAGACATGCCTTTTCGTAGTCGATGTGACAAACTACCCACTTTCTAAAAAATTTAGAATGCCATCGGTGGAAGCGATTGATGGTACAAAAGACCCACTGGATCATCTGGACACGTATAAGTCTTTGATGCAACTACATAATGTCCCTGATGAAAAATCATGTGTAGGGCGTTCCGGACTACTCTAAAGGGATTAGCCCGACAGTGGTTTGCCAAGCTCATCTCAGCATCTATTGGCTCCTTTATTGACCTAAGCAGGTCCTTTGTGTCACATTTCATCGGAAGACGTCGCCACGAAAAACCTACCGTCCACCTACTCAATATAAAGCAGGACCGGGATGACAGCCTGAGAAGTTACCTCACTCGTTTTAACAAGGAGGTCCTTCACATTAAGGAGCCCGATGACAAGGTCACCATGATCGCTTTCTTAGGAGGCCTACGCTCATCTAGCTTTCTCTTCTCAATGATAAAGCACCCATTAAAGAGCATGCCAGAATTGTGAGCAAAAGCTCATAAATACATAAACGCCAAGGATGTCACCAAAGCCAGGCGAGGTGAGTCCTCGCCATCATGATCACCACCTACGCCCGACTCTAAAAAAAAAAAGGAAAAAGCCACAAAGGTACATAGAATTTTTGGCTGAGCTCACACCATTTGATGAGAGAGATTGTCAAGAAGACTCAGCCCCAGGCACCTAGCAGTAGGCACCCAGCACTTAGGCGCCCAGCACCAGGGACCCAACCTCAGGCATCCAATACTCAGGCGCCCAGCACCAGACGCCCAGCACTCAAACGCCCAGCACCTCTGGAGCCCGACCCTCAAGCGCCCAGCACCTCAGGTGCCCTGTTCCTCAGAGTCCAGCTCTTTAGTACCCTCCTCATCTCCATCTATTGGAATGAGCCTCCGGCTTGGTAACCCTCCCATGGACTAACCCTCAAAATTTGCCTTTGCTCTCATGCGGGCAGGCTCACAGTCAGTATATCTCCAGCTGAGCGGTTTTCTTGCGGGTCGCAAAAAGCTTAGTCAATCTCTGCTTTGCTCTCAAGCAGATAGTCTATCTTCAGCTTTGCAGCTCTCTCACGGGTCACTAAAAGCTTATTCTATCTCTACTCTGCTCTCAAGTAGACAGACTATCTCCAGCTTAGCGGCTCTCTCGCGGGTCACCCAAAACTTGACATATCTTTGCAACTCTCTCAAGCAGACAACCTATCTTTAGCTTAGTGGCTCTCACGGGTCTTCAAAAGCTTGACCTATCTCTGTTCTGCTCTCAAGCAGACAACCTATCTCCAGCTTAGGGGCTTTTTCGCGGGTCGCCAAAAACTTGGTCTATCTCTGCTCTACTCTCCAACAAGTAGTCTATCTCTAGCTTAACAACTCTCTCACGGGTCGTCAAAAATTTGGCTTACCTCTGCTCTGCTCTAAAACAAGATGCTTATATCTCCAACTTAGCGGCTCTCTCATGAGTCTCCAAAAGATCGATCTCAAAAGGAGCAGTTTTCTCACGAACAATCCTTAAACTCTGTATTTACTCTCACGCAATTAGTTTCTCTCTCTAAATAATCATGTTAGGTATTTTGATGTTGAAATAACATTGTTTTTGTCATCTCTAGGCACACTTTTGAAACTCAGGGTGTCTGCAACCCGCGGGGCTACATTAGATTGAATTTCAACAAACGACGTCATCCATCCGACACTACCTGCGCATCTACTTGCCCAAGCCCAATGTCTCCCGAAGCCATATTAGTACTCACCAATCCTTGACCAAGGCGCTGAAGTCCAAGTCCTGCTTCACAAGCGGCACCTCGTTGCGTGCAGCCTGATCAACCAGCACCCCGTGCACAAGCTCGCTCAACGCCTTGCGTGCAAGCTCGCCTAGCGCCTTGCACGCAGGTTCACCCAGTGCTTCACGAGGCTCGCCCAACAGCCCTTCTTGCGCAGCAGCCCCTCTTGCACGCCCTTCCAGCGCAGTAGCCTCTTATGCGCAACAACCCCCCCTGCATGCCCAACCAGCACAGCAGCCCCTTCTGCGCGCCCAGCCAGCGCAAACAGCCTTTCCTGCGCACACAGCCTGCTCACTCGGCAACTCCACATCAGCGTCGCCTCCTCTTTGGCGCCTATAGCTGGCTCGCCCAGCACCTCCATGCAGTCATGACCACCAGTGGTCCCGCTTCCTACCTCTGTGCTAGATGCTCCATCGCCATGGAAACCAGTGAACCTTTGAATCTTCTCTTATTTGCTCGACATTAAATTCTGAGAACTCATCTTAGGAAAAAAACCTCTAACCTTGGTCTTCAAGTATCTCAAGAAAAAACTCTCTCTCAAAATTGTATGAAATAGGTAGAATGGAAAAAGGGGAAAAGTCCTTATTTGAAATCAAGGGATCCTCTAGAACCCAAATGTAGGGGTAAGGTCAAAAGGAGTTTCCACCAACCGGGATGCAAGGTTCAACCAAATGCCCCCTTTTCCAAGTTTTATTAGACACGGGGCATTGGGAGGCAAATGATAGGTCATATCTAATGTCCCAACTCATGTTAAAAGTCCAGTTTAAATCAAGATCTAGTATCCAATCCAAAGGGGTCCACGCCTGGTTAAGCTCGCTAGGGAGTAAGCAGGGTCATCCGAGAGCCTTATTCACGCCGCCTTGGAAAGAGTCAACTCCCACGTCATCCTTTGATCGAATCTTATGGAGAACACGTAACTACCTCATCCATTGAGAAGAGGTTGACAACTCCTCCAGATTAGCCACTTATTTTTTAATAACTCAACCCAATATGTTATGAGATGACTATAAATTATAAGTTCGCCAACATTTGGGGGCATCACACTCAGTAGAGCACATCTCTCCTATCCCTCTCAACTTGTAACTCCTTGCTCTCACAACACACTTGAAGTAATAAAATACCTTGGCAACCTTAGCCATTTAAAGTGGACGTAAGTCACGCTGACTGAACCACTATAAATTCTTGCCTTACTTATGTCTATATATCTCTTTACTTTACTATTACATTTATTACTATTCAATTGACAGGTGGCATGCAAACTCAATTTGTGCATCATCACATGCTTAATTAGGTGATTATTTTTTTAAATTGTCGACGAGGCTCGTAATTTTTATGTAAAATAGAACGATATCGAACCAAATATATCAAGTCGAATACAACTATAGTTGTACTCATAACAAGTCGATACTTTGAATTGTAATTCTAAGGAGAGTATTTGAATTTTACTAACATTGTTTAGCCAAAGCCCTTCTCAATGCCCTATCACGTAGTCTCGACAATGGAATGTAGAATTCGACTCTCATGTCGTTTCAATTAAATCATTTTTTTTAACGAATTAAATATTTACTTCTTAAACAAGAGAAGATAACAAGTTATAAATTTTGTCTCGATAAAACATGAATTTTTGTTATTAAAATTAAGAATTTTGTCTCAATAAAACATGAATTCCTATTATTATGAAACTCATCGATGAAGTAGTTAATGGTGAGGTTACCATCTATGTGTTCCTAATAAGAAAAGGAACTTGTTCCCAAATATCAATATTTTATATTCATTTTTAGGGTTAATCGAGGTTTCGAAATATAGAATTTGTCTCATTTTAGTCCATAATATTTCTGTTGTATCATTTTAATCCATAAAAATATTGAATATGTTTTTATATTATTTTTCAAACAAACAACATCTAAATTGCTAACATTTTTTATTATAAACTTGTCACGTGATACCTAAATATGAACAAAAAATAATTTGAGTACCTCTTGATAAAAAATGTTTAATATAAGTAGTTCTTAACCAAAATATGAATAATTCATGATCAAAACTATGTAATTTGAGTAAAAAATTTAATCAAGAGTTATTCAAATTTTTTTTTAGCTCATATTTAGATATCGAGACAAGTTTATAATCAAAATAGTTTACAATTTGAATGTTTTTTATTTGAGAGATCACAAAAAAATATATATTTAATATTCTAAGTATTAAAATAATATAATTAAAATATTAAGAACTAAAATAAAATAAATCCATGCAATTAACCCTAAACTTTTATAATTCAGCATCAATTGTACGAATTCATTTTCCGAAGTCCATCTTGCTCAGCTCTCTCTTCAAGCTCTCACTCTCTAAACCCTAATGATACTCCAAAACCCTAGGGTTTTCTCTAACCTCTTTCCCCTTTCATTTCCATTTGGGGTTTGAACCATGTACCTCTACAATCTCACCCTTCAAAAAGCCACCGGCATAGTCTGTGCCATCAACGGCAGCTTCTCCGGCGGCAAATCGCAAGAAATCGTCGTCGCCCGCGGAAAAATCCTCGATCTCCTCCGTCCCGATGACAACGGTAAGCTTCAAACTCTTCTCTCCGTTGAAATTTTCGGTGCCATTCGTTCTTTAGCTCAGTTTCGTCTTACTGGCGCTCAAAAAGACTACATTGTAGTCGGTTCCGACTCGGGCCGCATTGTGATTCTTGAATACAACAAAGAAAAGAACTGGTTCGATAAAATTCACCAAGAAACCTTCGGAAAATCTGGCTGTCGCCGGATTGTTCCGGGCCAGTACTTGGCCATTGACCCCAAAGGTCGGGCCGTAATGATTGGTGCTTGCGAGAAACAGAAACTTGTATATGTTTTGAATAGAGATACTGCAGCGAGGTTGACGATTTCGTCGCCTTTGGAGGCTCATAAGAGTCATACTGTTGCTTATTCAATTTGTGGAGTGGATTGTGGGTTTGATAACCCAATATTTGCAGCGATCGAGTTGGATTACTCGGAGGCTGATCAGGATTCAACTGGTCAGGCCGCGAGTGAGGCCCAAAAACAATTGACATTTTATGAATTAGATTTGGGGCTTAATCATGTTTCGAGGAAGTGGTCGGAACAGGTTGATAATGGTGCTAATATGCTGGTGACTGTGCCGGGTGGTGGGGATGGGCCGAGTGGTGTGCTTGTGTGTGCAGAGAATTTTGTTATATACAAGAATCAGGGCCACCCTGATGTCCGGGCTGTTATTCCTAGGAGAGAGGATTTACCAGCTGAACGTGGTGTTCTTATAGTTTCTGCTGCTATGCATAAGCAGAAGTCAATGTTTTTCTTTCTTCTGCAGACGGAGTATGGGGATATTTTTAAGGTTACATTAGATCATGACAATGACCGCGTTACGGAATTGAAGATTAAATACTTTGATACCATTCCTGTTACATCTTCATTGTGTGTCTTGAAATCGGGATTTTTGTTTGCTGCCTCGGAGTTTGGGAACCATGCTTTGTATCAGTTTCAGGCTATAGGAGATGATCCAGATGTGGAAGCTTCATCGTCTACATTGATGGAAACAGATGAAGGTTTCCAGCCTATATTTTTCCAGCCTAGGAGGCTGAAAAACCTTGTTAGGATTGACCATGTGGAGAGCTTGATGCCAATAATGGACATGAAAGTGTTAAACCTATTTGAGGAAGAAACTCCTCAGATATTTGCACTTTGTGGACGGGGTCCTCGTTCGTCTCTTAGGATATTAAGACCAGGTTTGGCTATTAGCGAAATGGCTGTGTCACAGCTTCCTGGTGTTCCCAGTGCAGTGTGGACTGTGAAAAAGAATATCAATGATGAATTTGATGCTTATATTGTCGTTTCATTTGCAAATGCCACTCTTGTGCTTTCCATTGGTGAGACAGTTGAAGAAGTTAGTGATAGTGGCTTCCTCGATACTACTCCTTCACTTGCTGTTTCTTTGATTGGTGAGGATTCTCTGATGCAAGTTCATCCGAGTGGTATTAGGCATATAAGAGAAGATGGACGTATTAATGAATGGAGAACTCCAGGAAAGAGAACAATTGTTAAGGTTGGTTCTAATAGACTTCAAGTGGTTATTGCACTGAGTGGAGGGGAGCTTATATATTTTGAGGTGGATATGACTGGCCAGTTGATGGAGGTTGAAAAGCACGAAATGTCGGGGGATGTAGCTTGTTTGGACATTGCCCCTGTTCCTGAAGGAAGACAGAGATCTCGTTTCCTTGCAGTTGGATCGTATGATAACACTATTCGTATCTTGTCATTGGATCCTGACGACTGTATGCAGATTCTGAGCCTGCAAAGTGTTTCATCACCTCCAGAATCTCTCCTGTTTCTTGAAGTGCAGGCTTCTGTAGGTGGAGAGGATGGTGCAGATCACCCTGCTAACCTCTTTCTTAATGCTGGCTTACAAAATGGGGTTCTGTTCAGAACTGTGGTGGACATGGTGACAGGTCAGCTTTCTGATGCCCGCTCCCGGTTCTTAGGACTTAGAGCCCCCAAGCTCTTTTCTGTGATTGTGAGAGGACGCCGGGCTATGCTTTGCTTGTCTAGTAGACCCTGGCTTGGTTATATACATCAAGGACATTTCCTTCTAACACCCCTTTCGTATGAGACCCTTGAATATGCAGCCTCATTTTCATCCGATCAGTGTGCAGAAGGTCTAGTTGCTGTCGCTGGGGATGCACTAAGGGTCTTTACCATTGAGAGACTGGGAGAAACATTTAATGAAACAGCTATTCCTTTGAGGTACACCCCAAGAAAGTTTGTGCATCATCCCAAGCGGAAACTGTTGGTAATTATTGAGAGTGATCAGGGAGCATTCCCAGCTGAAGAGCGCGAAGCTTTAAAAAGAGAGTGCTTTGAGGCTGCTGGGATGGGAGAAAATGGGGAGCAGATGGATAATGGTGGTGACGATGAGGATAAGGATGATCCCCTCTCTGATGAGCAATATGGTTATCCTAAGGCAGAGTCTAGCAGGTGGGTTTCTTGCATCAGAGTTCTTGACCCAAGGTCAACAGCCACAACTTGTCTGCTGGAGCTTCAGGATAATGAGGCTGCATTCAGTATATGCACTGTAAATTTCCATGACAAAGAGTATGGAACTCTTTTAGCTGTTGGTACAGCAAAGGGACTGCAGTTTTGGCCCAAAAAATCTTTTGAGGCTGGTTACATTCATATCTATAGATTTAAGGAAGATGGGAGGTCCCTTGAACTTTTGCATAAGACACAAGTAGATGGTGTCCCTCTTGCAATGTGCCAGTTCCAGGGAAGGTTACTTACTGGAATAGGATCTGTGCTTAGATTGTATGATTTGGGGAAAAGGAGGTTGCTTAGAAAATGTGAGAATAAGCTGTTT